CTTCGGGACTTGTGTTGCTTTCCAGGCATCTTGAGACCATTTAATTTTCCCTTTAGAAATGAATAAACAGGCCTGGTGAGAAAAGAAGTAAATATGTACATCCCCATTCCTGAGGCTGACTTCACACAAATCCTTCAAAGCTTGATTTACGCATGCGTGATTCATTTGCATGCAGCAGAGGTTCCCATGGTTACGTACACCTGCGGCTGAGAGTAACTGTGTTGTGATGAGCAGACCCATGAGGTCTCCATTCCACTCTAGCGTCTGCCATTTGCCAACCCTGTCTCCTCAGACACACTGTTAACTTCCTTGAGCTTTGAGCTTTGGTTTCATCGTCGTCTAAAATCGAGCTTGCTTGCGGCAACAGTTCACACTTTAGTGCCTCCTTGTGAAGGGAGAATGACTTCAGATATGAAAGACACTTAGAATGATTCTCAGCAGAAGTGTTCACCAGTATGACTCATTTACTAAACCCGTGGTGTTAATTGATTCTATCAGATTCAAGGCAGGAGCTCTAAGGTCTTTGGTATACCATCAAACATTGAATGACAGATGTGTCCATCAGATGCTCGTGATGTGTGATGTCTCAGATTTTAAGCCCTATTGTACTCATAAGTGACCTAGCCTGGCTTGACATTTGAACAGAATCTTCTGCCCTGGCTAATTGGTCTACTTCCATTTTCTTAGTGTGTTTGTCTCTGGGAGGCTAGACATGGGATACATGTATATCTTGTACATGTATGTCAGGCAAGCATCATGGTAGACAAGAAAAAGAACTGGACTATTTGTACAGGATCCCATCACCTAGAAAGCCACCTCCCAATGGCAGGAGCCAGAAGATCACACAGTGACAATTGCAATACTGTTTTCTGAACCCTAGGGCAGTATAAATAAAACATGGATAAATATTTTCTTACTTGCTTAACAAATATGTATTGAGACCAAACCACCAGATGGATACTGTTGGCCTGCTAAGATAGATAAAATAGACAGGTAAATTATATACCATTCTTTAAAAAAAAAAGATTTATGTATTTTTTATATAAATGAGTGTTTCACCTGTATGCATTCCTTTTTTAAAAAAAAAAGATTTATTTATTTATTGTATGTATGTATTTGAGTACTCTGTAGCTGTCTCCAGACACACCAGAAGAGAGCCTCAGATTCCATCACAGATGGTTGTGAGCCACTATGTGGGTGCTGGGAATTGAACTTAGGACCTCTGGAAGAGCAGTGAGCGCTCTCACCTCTGAGCTATCTCCCAACCCACCTGTATGCATTCCTATACCACATGTATGCCTGGTACCTACGGATGTCAGGAGAGGGCATCAGATCTAGAACTGGAGTTACAGATGGTTATGAGCCACCATGAGGGTGCTAGAAACTGAACCCAGATTCTCTACAAGCACAGCAAATGCTTGTAACTGCAGAGTCCTTTGTCCAGGCCCCTTAAAAAAACCATTCTTGATTGTGAACACTTTATGGTTCATCAGGGAGATCTCACAAGCTAACTTTAGTGCATAATATAAAGATGAAAACAAAAGTTTCCCATTAGGAGCTATGTGTGTGGCAAACCATTTTCTATACCCTACACCAAAACAACTCCTTAAAGCCGGTCCTGCCGTTTGTCTAAGTTCATCTTCACACAATCCTGGTATTGAGGATAGAGTTATACATGTTATCTGACACATAAACTCAATGTTATCCATTGGTTTGTCAAATTAGAATGCCTATTTTGGTCTAGCTCTGATCATCTGAAAAATGTACCAGCACTGAGCATGTCTGAAACCAGGCTCATTAGCGGCAGGAAGCAGCCTTCAAGAAGCGCAGAAACTGAAGTGAAACTTGGAACCAAGTGGGTGGCCAGGGCAAGGTTTCTGATCTTCTTCCCCCTCCATCCCCTGCCACCCCCACCCCCAACCTCTCCATTCCCCACTCCCATGTTCCCATTGCCTTTTATCTGACTCTTCCAACAAAGTCCTGTGGTTCTTTCATCTAAATTTACCAACCCAGATTTTCTTTCCTGTAAAGCGAAGCCATAGTCTTGGGCTTTGGATGGAGGTTATAAGTCAGTGCTTCTCTAGCTGGCTAAGTGTAAAAACACTGGAGTACATGGAGAAGAGGAATGCTTTAATATGTCCAGTCAGGATGTGTGACAAGCTGAACTAGAGAGTGTAGGGAACCAGCCCAATAGTCACAGCAAGGTGGAGGCTGTCGGTGATGGGCACACCATCTACTCTCAAACATGGACCTCCAGCAGTGCTTGCGAAGCTAGGGAATAGCATTGCTGAGTCTTCTTTCCAGAGAAGGAAATAAGTGAGGTGAATCCAGTTAATGGAGACACACACACACACACATACCACACACACACACATACACACACACACCACACACACATACACACACACACACCACACACCACACACCACATACCACACACCAGGCAAGGGGAGGAGAGAGAGAGAGGAGGGAGAGAAAGAGAGAGGAGAGAGAAAGAGAGGAGAGAGAGAAGTTTAAAGACTTAGAGTGTGGGACTGGAGAAATGGTCCACCAGTTAAAAGTGCATGCTCTCCTTGCTGGAGGCCAGAGTTTCATTCCAAGCACCCACTTCAAACAGCTGAGCTGCTGCACCTTCCACTCCAGGGAACCTGACACACTCTCTGGCCTCAGTAGACACCAGCATGCATGTGTGCACACCAGCATGCACACAAATAAAGTCTTTTTTTAAAAAAAAAAAAATTCAAGTTCCCTAAAAATTCAGTCATTGGCTTTTCATTTAAGGACTTTCAGAGGTTCTTTATCAAAGAATACGATCTACTGCTTTGTGATCTTTCTACAAACACCCTCTATCTGGTGCACAGCTCAGCCTCAGAAGGAAGTGCAGCTGCTTGCACTAGCTAGGGCAAGAACAATTCACAGAAGGACCGGACTAGGTCAGCTTGTGCAGAGGGACAGGAGAATCCAGTCTGGTCTTTGCTGGTGGGTGCAGGGATCTTTCCACAATGCCAGTGCGACTGCCTGGCATGTCATGGGGGTAGGATGCATCCAGAGATGACAGCAGCTCTGAGCTCGCCCAGCCTCTGCAGAAGTGAGCATGGCCCCTGAGCCTGCTCAACGGCTACTCTTGATTTAGATGCCTCTGCTTTCATTCTGACTCCTGCTCCACACATGACTGATGGATTCTCAGGAAGGGTCACAGAGATAAAAGAGCACAGGCAACGTGCAAAAGCAGACTGTACCCTCTGATAACTGTCAAGCCATTAGTCAGTGGGAGTCCAGTGCCACTGATGTGAATGGGAGGGATACAGAGGGGACTTGGAACCTCTTCTTCCCCAAGGCAGAATCAGAAATACCTTCTTTCATCTTTTCTAAACAAACCTTCATCCTTCCCTACTTTATGGCAGCTCGTTATCTGGTCCAGGGTATCTGATTTAACAGCCATTCATGTATATGTAAGCACTGTGTAATAATGTCTTAGAGGGTAGTTATCATTAACATCCGGGGCTTTTGCACCACCAAGGAGGTATTTTTCTGTCACTACTGGACCCTCTTTTGCCCAGATTTGGTGTCTATTTTTTTTCTATAGTCTTTCAACTTATCTTTTCAAAACTGCCCACCTCTGTCACTGTCCTCCCCATCCTTCCACCTTGTCTTCTTCTTTACTTATTTCTTCATAACATGTCTTACATCTGGAATGTATTGTCCTAGTGCTTCTGGTCCCTGAATCTTGAGTACATGCTTAATAAGAGCAGAAATGTGTGTCTGCTGTGGTGTCCCCATGGCCGACACAAGTGCCTGGCACGGGACAGAACAAATATTAGTTAAATTACCTGATGAATGAATTATTTTCTTCATGTCTAGTACAGGACTTAATAGAGCTGCTATAGAAAAGACCTCTTCAAATAAAAAGCAAGAAGTATGCTGGAGACAGAGTGCAGTGGTAAAGCGCTTGGCTTGCACATTCAAGGCCCTAAGTGTGGTCTTTAGCAGCTCCCCCTTCCCCAAGAAAATTAGAAAGAAGCCATTGCAACAGAAGAAAAACCAAGACTGTGGCTTTCTTCTAGTCAAACTTTCTAGTTTCTGGTTGACTGATCGGTTGGGGGAAGTTTACAGAATGGGAAATATCAGAATGCAGAGTCAGAGGTTCTCTGAGTCTCTAAATGATGTTCCCAGGCCCACTTATCTGACCTGAACCCCCTTTCTGCCTGGCCCCCTCTTCTGTATGGAAGTGGAAGCAATTACACATGAGCTCCCATCTGCTCCTGCCACGCTCACCCAAGTCAGTTGGAGGCTTCCTTGGGGTGCTAGGAGAGCATGGGAGAGGGCTGGAAGACCATGGTTTTGAGTCCGCTGATCTGTTATGTTTGTTCCAAAGCTGCTAAGCCATAAGGACGGCAGCAGGGCCCCTCCCTATGTCTGTGTTCTTGGCTTTGTTCTCATAGCTTTATGAGAGTCCACTTACAAAGTCTCTAGTTACTGCCTAAGGTCCAGCTCAGCCATCAAGCTTCTTGTGTAAACTGTTCTGAATATCCCACGCTGTCCACATTGCTCTCTGGGTCACATCACCTTGCTCATTTTAGCAACTATATTGATCACTCAGCTAACTCATGCTGTACATCTCTGTATCCAAGTCTTATGGCTTGTGTAAAGCTGGCCCTCTCGGAATGCTGAGGAGATGAGTAAGCATGCGTATATAACAACAGAGAGGGCAATAAGAAGGCTCAAGCTAGAAGACTGCTTGCTTCACAAGCCTGATGACCTAGGTTTGATCCCTGAAGCCTCACTGTAGAGGGAAAGAACTGACCCCCAAAGTTGTCCCCTGAACTTCATATATGTCACACACACACACACACACACACACACACACACACACTACACATACCTAATAAATAGACTATACAAGCCAGCCAGTCACCTTGGCTAACATCTATCTTCCCTTGGGGACCATAGTGGACTACATGTATATGTGTGTTTATACGTATATCTCTGTTTTCGTTCAGGCACTCTGATTGTTTTGAAGCATCCTTATCCAAGGCAAGTGGAAGAACCTTCCATTTATGAATCAGTCCGGGTTCACACAGCGATGCAGACAGGAAGGACAGAGAACGACCTCGTGCCCACCGCGCCTTCTGTAAGTACCCACCATGCTCTTCGCTGAATGCCACTGAATGCAGCAAGAACTACAGTCCATTGGCTCACACAAAAGTTCTAGTTTGGAGCCATCTTAGTAGCACACACTCATAATCTCAGCACTTGGGGGTCTGAGACTTGAGAGTTGCTATGAGTTCAACCTTGGGCTAAAAAGAGAGTTTCATGTCAGCCACATCTGTCTTGCAGCATCCTGTCTTAAAAAGGAAATAAATAAACAGACAAACAACAAGACAGTATATTCTAGAGGGTATATAAAACTTGGAATTTGGTATAATATTTGAAGGCTATAATTCAATTCATCTGGTCCAAGGAAAATTAAAAACAAACAAACAAAAAAACAATTCCCAAATGTTTTGGATGCGTGTAGCTCAGAGTTACAGTGCTTGCCCAGTATGATGAGATCCTGTTTCATCACCATAGAACATACATACATGCACACACACAAATGGGGGGGGGGGAGAGAGAGAGAGAGAGAGAGAGAGAGAGAGAGAGAGAGAGAAAGAGAGAGAGAGAGAGCTTAGTGATAGGATTTCAAAAACTTAGGAAATGTCACTGAAATTTCTCTCTTTAAATAGTCAAACAGGTTTGTAGTAGAGTAGGTGAGAGAAGAGTTTACCTAGCTACCTAAGCATCGTTCTTTGACAAACTGCCTTAAATGTAGAGAAGCATCTTCCTTTGTATTTCAACTATCCATGAGAGAAAAAGCCTTTTCCAGCTTCCCCAGAAAACTTGGGGTTCTATATTTCTAGCTTTTGTTCCAGTGACTAGCACCCACAGGGAGAAAGCATTCTTCTTGCTAACATGACTTCACCCCCCTTTAGTCTGAGCATTATGGGATGAATCTTGCTCATCTCAGAGATCATCACTATGTATTCTGTGAGCCACAGTCTGCAGGTTCTTCCGACATCTCCTCCCTTTCCCATCCTCAGGGTTCGTCCTGGCATGCTGAATATTTCTAGTAGGAGAAATTCCAATTCTGGTAGATGAGAAAAATGGCAACACCCAAATAAAACACCAGGAAGCCATTTTACACTTTAAAACAAAACAAAACAAAACCAGCCACTTAAAGTTATTCAGCTACCTTCCTATCCCCAAAGTTATTTTTTTCTATCCTGATGCCAAAGAAAGCTTTCTTAAATGTACCACACTGGGTGTGATGGTGCAGTCTGGAAGTCCCAATACCTTGGGGGCTAGAGGTTAAGGCTAACCAAGGCTATGTAGCAAGATGCTGTGCCAGTAAAAGAGGAAGGAGGGCTTGGGGTGAGGACTCAGTGGTAAAGCACTACCTATGCAAGCTGAAGACCAGAGTTGAGATCCCATAACCTATGTAAAAGCCAGGACTCAGGAGCACACATGTGCTTATTCTCTGCGAGAAGATGGCAGGCAGTCAGGGGAGTCTCCAGAAGCTTGGAGTCCAGTTCAACCTGGTGTATGTCTTTAAAAAAGTAGAAGGTAAAGATACTCAAGTTTATCCTGTATATATATATGTGTATATATGGAATATTATATATATATATATATATATATATATCCCATATACATGTAGCATGTACATGCACACATGTGAGCACACACATACAACATATATACAGGAATCATTGCTTGTATGTTTTTGTGACTTTATAGCATGACTAGTTAATGGTATGCCTTATGTTTACCATTTTACTACAACTCCTCAAAAATAAAAATCTTGGAAATTTGTTTTAAAAGATTTCAGGGGGCAGGCAGGGAGCTTGCTTAAGAGTTAACAAAAGGAAGCATTAGATTTTAGAACTAGAAAAATCTAGAAAAGTAGAGAGATTGATATATTTCCAGAGACAGATGAGAGCAGAGGTCAGATCAAGACCTACCTCTGCTCGGTTCTCGTTTTCTGGCCAGCCAGTTCCCTTCACAGCTTCCCCTTTCCCTGTTCTCAGCTATCTGCCCGTCACAAAGCCATGTCGTATCTCAACTGTTTATCTTCACATTCTCCTTTTCTTCTTCTTCTTTTTTTGAGAAAAAAAAATTATGCAATATATTCAGATCATACTTTCCCTTTCCCAGCTCCTCCCAGATCTCCCTATCTCCCTACCCAACCAATCCATGCCCCTTCTCTCTCTTAGAAAGAAAGAAAGAAAGAAAGAAAGAAAGAAAGAAAGAAAGAAAGAAAGA